AAAGAAAGAGAAAAGAAAAAGAAAAATATGTAAACTCCAGTTGGCCTGGCCGGGCACAGTAGCTCATGCCTGTAATCCCAGCACTTTGGGAGTCCAAGCTGGGCATATCACTGGAAGTCAGGAGTTTGAGATCAGCCTGGCCAACATGGTGAAACCCCATCTCTACTAAAAATACAGAAGTTAACCGGGCTTGGTGGTGCATGCCTGTAATCCCAGCTACTTGGGAAGCTGAGGCAGAATTGCTTGAACCTGGGAGGCAGAGGTTGCAGTAAGCCAAGATTGTGCCACTGCACTCCAGCCAGGGCTATAGAGTGAGACTTCATCTCAGAAGAAAAAACAAAAACATTCCAGTTGGCCCTACATGGGAATGTTGACCTAATAACAGGCCAGGAAATGTTTGAGAACCTATTGTTTCCAAAATATGACAATAGGTCCTCAAAGTAGGCAGGCCAGTGCCTGCCTCAGAATTCAAATAAGTCATTGTTTGAGAATTTCCTCATGTTTCTAATGATTGTAGTTTTGTTTCTTAAGTCCCATCAAATGCAAAATGGGAAGGAAAATGAAACTAGAACTCCCTTTTTGGTTTCTCCTAGTAATTGTCTCTCCCAGTCGTTTATATATATTTAAATTATGATTATTGTTTCCTAAAATAAAGATAGCACTTCAGTAACCAAATGTTAAATGCAAAGGAAATAAACCCCACAGCAATGCTTGTTTCTGAAACATAGTTCGTTCATAATCCTTGTGGCCCAAGGTAAATGAATGGCCAAACACTCAAACCTTGTTGTAATTTTACTTCTCTATAACCTGCTGAGTCAGAATGAGTTGGAAGGTCCAGCACTGATTCAAACAGTTTGGAAGCTTTAAAACTATATCATGTGATTTTTCTCATAAAGTCTTTCCCCAGCTACCTTCTTTCTCCCTATTTCGGAGAAGTCCTTAGAGTTTTTCACTGTAATACCAGCCTGATCTTTTGGAAAATAATAAACTCAGGTGGGTTCTGTTTTCAGGCCTGCTCTTTTATGGTCCTTCTCAATGACACAACATGGCACACGTGTCTGTCTGCACCCAAGGAGCAGCTTGATGACCAAAAGACTTACCACCACCTCTGTTCTGAGTAAAAATCACAAGTCTAAGGTGCTCATGACTGAGATGTCTGGTTTAAGATCACTGAAGGTCACTGAAAGGGCTCATCTTTTCACATTTTCTTACTGTTATAAATCACATGGACTGAGGTTTGCATTTGGGGCTTATTAGTCATCTCTGTTTTTTTTTTGTTGTTGTTTTTTTGTTTTTTTTGAGACAGAGTCTTGCTCTGCTGCCCAGGCTGGAGTGCCATGGTGCAATCACGGCTCACTACAGCCTTGACCTCCTGGGCTCAAGTAATCCTTCACCTCTGCCTCCTGAGTAGCTGGGACCACAGGTGTGTGCCACCACACCCAGCTTATTTTTTTATTTTCTGTAGAGATGGGGGTCTCGCTATTTTGCTCAGGCTGGTCTCAAACTCCTGGGCTCAAACAGTCTTCCCGCTTCAGCCTCCCAAAGTGCTGGGATTACAGGCATGAGCTATTGCACCTGGCCTAGCTAGCTCTATTGACATTTGTTTTTTGTTTGTTGTTCTCTTAGAGTTTCTTGGACCTTGTGGTTGAATTGGAGAAACTAAATCTGGTTGCCCCAGATCAACTGGATTTATTAGAAAAATGCCTAAAGAACATCCACAGATTAGACCTGAAGACAAAAATCCAGAAGTACAAGCAGTCTGGTAAGAATTTTGGCCTCTCAGTGGTCTAGAGGAAGCACTCTGTGCATGGGGCGTGTGACTGGTAAAGATTCAATTGTTAGATAGGTGGATGGAATGGAACCCAAATGACCAAAGCCCCCTTCAGCTTGTGGCTAGAAATCACATCTCTTTATATCCTTCGTATGCCAGATCTGCCAACTCCATTGCTCTGTATATTCATGATCTCTGCAAAATGCTGCCAAGCAGTTCTTAACATTTCAGTTTTCAAGAAAGAATCTGGGATCTGCACAGGCTGGCAGAGCTATGGATATGCAGGTGTTTTGCATGTATGCTGAACCCTACTGCCTTGCTCTAGTATTTGGCCTGATAAACACTATCCAAGTTCGGGTGATGTCACTTGGGTCTCATACCTTCCCTGCATGTGTCCCAAGTTTCACAAAACCTCCTTATGGAAAAGAGCACATTCGATTTCTTCCTTGATGTAAGGGACCAGTCTCACATTGGCCTTTTCCCTTACTTGCGTCCCTCATTTTCTTTTAGACTCCGCCTCAGCTTGAGCTCTGTTAGCAAGTTTACTGCCACCATAGTATCACAGCCTAAAGGGCATGGCTGAGACTCATTGATCTGTAGAGCACTCTTCCACCCCAACACACTCTAAAAGACTGATCAAAGATCAAGAACAGAAGTAGCATTTATATTCCACTCTTAACGATGCTTGGTGGAAGAGTCATCTGATATTTTGAATTCAGTAAGGTGACTAGAAAGTTTAGGGTATTTTGAAAGATGATGATTGACCTTGGACTGAACCATTGTTGAAGATTTATTTGATAATAATTTATAAATTTTAACTCAGTACCTCCCTTCTGCTTTTTTAGCTCAAGGAGCAGGGACAGGTTACAAGAATGCTCTCCAAGCAGCAATCAAAAACAGTTTCAAGGATCCTTCAAATAACTTCAGGGTGAGTCTGGAGCAAACATGTGGAATCCCAGCATGAAACCGCTGCAGGGTTCTAATAAAAATATACATAGTCTCACAGCATGTAATTTATTTAATATCTGAAAAAATTGTGATAGAAACATGTATTTGTTTTAAAAATGTGTAACTTCTTATAATTTCAAAGCTAATACATGTTCGTTGAGATCTTTGGAGACTACAGAGAAATATAAAAGAAAATAAATCATCTATATGCCACTACTCAAAGACAACCACTGTTAATTTTTTGATATATTTCCTTCTAGACTCTTTTTTATGTGAGTTTGCATCTGTATCTGTGTGTGTGTATGTATATGTATATACATATATATTTACATACAGTTGGACAATGGGACTTTTTTTCACTGTTCATTTATTTACTTGAAATTGTAACTTAAAAAAAGAAAATGTAACTTTAAAAATAAAAATAGATGCACCATGCCTATGGAAAAATATTTTTAAATGTACTACAAAAAGTTTTAAAAGTGTATTTTCTGCTGGTCGCAGTGGCTCACACCTGTAATCCCAGCACTTTGGGAGGCCAAGGTGAGCAGATCATGAGGTCAAGAGATCAAGACCATCCTGGCCAACGTGGTGAAATTCTGTCTCTACTAAAAATACTAAAATTAGCTGGGCATGGTGGCACGTGCCTGTAGTCCCAGCTACTCGAGAGGCTAGGGCAGGAGACTTGCTTGAACCCGGGAGGTGGAGGTTGCAGTGTGCCAAGGTTGCGCCACTACACTCCAGCCTGGTAACAGAGTGAGACTCCGTCCCCCCCCCCCAAAAAAAAAAAGATATATTTTCTACCCAGGTGCAGTGGCTCATGCATGTAATCCCAGCACTTTGGGAGGCCAAGCTGGAAGGATCACCTGAAGTCAGGAATTAGAGACTGGCCTGGCCAACATGGTGAAACCCCATGTCTACTAAAAATACAAAAATTAGCCAGGCATGGTGGCAGGTGCCCGTAATCACAGCTACATGGGAGGCTGAGGCAAGAGAATTGCATGAACCCAGGAGGTAGAGGTTGCAGTAGTCAAGATCATGCCATTGCACTCTAGCCTGGGCGACAAGAGCAAAACTCTGCCTCAAAAAAAAAAAAAAAAAAAAAAGTATGCCTTCTTCCTACTCCTATAATACTGACCTCCAATTCTTTTCCCTAAAGGCAGCTGTTGTGAACTAGTTCATTCTGTAACTATCCAGAGACAGTCTACACATATATTTCACATTTGCTTTTTTCTCTTGTACAAATGCTAGCATCATATGCCCATTGTCCTGACCTAAAAATTATTGGAAATAGTTCCATATGATTAACATGGAACTGCCTCTACTTAATCATTATTTTGAATGATTAGTTTTATTTTCTTGATGTTTATAATGTGTTTAGCCCTTTCTTCTTGCTGTATGTTTAGGTTGTTTCCGATCTTTTGTTACTACTAATAATGCTATAAAATAAATACTCTTGTACTTCTTTGTGCATTTTCTTTCTTACTGAGCTAATTTTAATGATTTCAGCAAAAGTTATTTTGTTGTTGAGTAATAAAAAAAGATTTTTTGGGGGTTCATTAGCATAAGTATCATATAGTCACTTATGGTTGTTGTGTTCGTAGTACTTAGTACAAGGTATCAGAATTGTTCTTTGGTTAATCTTTTATCTTAAGAAGTTAAATCTTGGTGTAATCTCATCCTCATGTTCATATAAAGGTATGTGGAGTTTGTATTGAGGACTTAGACCCGGGTACAATTTCATTGTTAAATTAGAAATGCTTTTGGCAGTGTTAACAGTTGTTTTAGAATTTATCTAGCAGGCTTTTCAGTTTTTGCCAGAAAGCCCCTAAAAAAAAAAAAAGAAGGAAAAAAAATGCTTTTGGCTGGGTGTGGTGGCTCATGCACATAATCACAACACTTTGGGAGGCCAAGGCAGGCGGATCAGTTGAGCCCAGGAGTTTGAAACAAACCTGGGCAATGTGTCAAAACCCCATTTCTACAAAAAATACAAAATTAGCTGGGCATGATGGTGTGCCTCTAGTCTCAGCTACTTGGGAGGCTGAGGTGGTAGAAATTGCTTGAACCTGGAAGGTTGAGGTTACAGTGAGCTGTGAGTGTGCCACTGCACTCCACCCCGGTGACAGAGTGAGACCCTTTCTCATGGAGAATAAGTCTGTGAGAAACACTTCTGAGCAATGCAGTTTCTGAGCTAAAATGGATTTATGAATTATTATCCAACCCCTTTCGTCAACAAAATAAGGAAACTTAGCCCTAAAGAACATTAAGTGATTGTCTACCTGTAATTACTAGCAGAGTTGGGCCCAGCCCATACTCATTTCACTACACCATGATATATATAATATACTGTATACTCATTATGCCATAGCCTAGATATAGCATACTTTTTTTTTTTTTTTTTTTTTTTTTTTTTTTTGTTTTTTTTTTTTTTTGAGACAGTTTCTCTCGTTGCTCAGGCTGGAGTGCAATGGCACAATCTCAGCTCACCGAAACCTTCGCCTCCCGCATATAAGCGATTCTCCTACCTCAGCCTCCCGAGTAGCTGGGATTACAGGCATGCAACACCACACCTGGCTAATTTTTTATTTTTAATAGAGATGGGGTTTCTCCATGTTCGTCAGGCTGGTCTCAAACTCGTGCCTGCCTCAGCCTTCCAAAGTGATGGGATTACAGGCATGAACTACTGCACCTGGCCTAGTGTATATATTTTTTTAAAGAATGAAATGTGCTTCCTTTTGTTATTCTGAGTCTCTGTAATACCAAACAATGAGAAAAAGCAGATTTAGGATTCTGGTCCGGGCTTTCTGAGTTTTCTCTGCTATCATCTGTCTAATATAAATTATATTGTCATTCTTGGTTAAAAACCTGCCATATTTTTAATTTTGTGTTAAGTGAAACATATTCATTGCTGTGTAGCCTGTTGTGAGCCAATATGCTTTGCATATTAATTTCTCCTTAAATTTCCTATAATTAATATGTGACCCTAAGGCCTAGGCACAGTGGCTTACCCCTGTAATCCCAGCACTTTGGGAGGCCGAGGCGGATGGATGACGAGGTCAGGAGTTAAAAACCAGCCTGGCCAAGATGGTGGAACCCTGTCTCTACTAAAACTACAAAAATTAGTCAGGTGTGGTGGCAGGTGCTTGTAATCCCAGCTACTCTGGAGGCTGAGGCAGGAGAATCGCTTGAACCTGGGCGGTTGAGGTTTCAGTGAGCTGAGATCGCGCCACTGCACTCCAGCTTGGGTGACAGAGTTGAGACTCTGTCTCAAAAAAAAATAAAGAATTAAAAAATTATATGGCTACAATATAATGCTTTTAAAATCCATTTTTGATTTGATATGTTACCTCTCTCTAATAGTATGTTAAAGTGAATACACATCTATGCGCGGGGCTAATTTCTATCTGATATGATCAGCGTCTGGCTAAGTCACTGATTATTAGTGAAAAAGGCAACTAACATGTTTTTCTTTAATGTAGACACACAGACTTAGCTAGTGACACAGCTTAACGGATAGTGTACTTCTCTTTTTTGGCTAGGTTAGCTTCAGAGAAGAACTGTCATTTGAAAGCTGAGTGTCTCAGATGGGTTGACAGCATGTGGTATGTGTACCTTACATAGGACCTGTCATCTGAGAAGAGAAAGGGTCGGTTCAATCTTTCATTCTCTGATTAATCTTACTCTAGCCCTCAGAAGTGGTTTATCAAGAATATTTGATTCCCCAGAATCAAGACCATATGTTGCTTATGTGTAGCTAGACAATGATAGAACAGCATTAACTGGACATTTATTATGTACTTCTGTGTGCTTGGCACTGTGCTGAGTGTTTTATGTACATTTAATCTTCATGCAAAATCTATAAGGTAGGTATTATTACTATCCTCATTTAGCATATGAAGAAACACACATAAAGAAGTTAAATAACTTGCTCGAGGTTACATAGCTAATAAGTGGCAGAATCAGGATTCCTAGCCAGGTCTAGTCTGGCCTAGAAATTCGACTCTTTAGTTTTGCTCTTGTTGCCGAGGCTGGAGTGCAATGGCGCGATCTTGGCTTACCGTGGCCTCTGCCTCCTGGGTTTGAGCACTTCTCCTGCCTCAGCCTCCCAAGTGGCTGGGATTACAGGCATGTATCACCATGCCCGGCTAACTTTTTTATACTTTTAGTAGAGATGGGGTTTCTCCATGTTGGTCAGGCTGGTCTCGAACTCCCGACCTCAGGTGATCAGCCTGCCTTGGCCTCCCAATGTGCTGGGATTACAGATGTAAGCCACTGCGCCTGGAGAAATCTGACTCTGAACCATGCTGTACTTTGCCCCTATGTTGAAGGAACAGGTGGAATGTCAATCTCATGTTCTAACAGCTTATCCTAACCTGGAACTATTATAGCAACTATATTATACTGTAACATCAGCTTTTATTGGGCTGTTTTGAAACATTCTAATTTGCTAGCTTAGCATATTTACACTTTCCTTATATTTTCATCTTTTTTTTTTTGAGACAGAGTTCCACTTTTGTCACCCAGGCTGGAGTGCAATGGCCTGATCTCAGCTCAGTGCAACCTCCGCCTCCCAGGTTCAAGTGATTCTCCTGCCTCAGCCTCCGAGTAGCTGGAATTACAGGCGCATGCCACCATGCCCAGCAGATTTTTGTATTTTTAGTAGAGATGAGGTTTCACCATGTTGGCCAGGCTCGTCTCAAATTCCCAACCTCAGATGATCCACTCACTTTGGCCTCCCAAAGTGTTGGGATTACAGGTGTCAGCCACCACCCCCAGCCTATTTTCATCTTAAAAGCAGAATTTCCTTGTTCTTTGATAATATAATATGGGATTTATGGAGTTAACAGCTCTTGCTATTCTTTAGATAATTTAACTGTGGGGATGATATTTTAATTTTTTTCCTGGGTTAAGAATTCTATGGAGACATTTAAAGAGGTGTAATGTATTGTGTGCCTCTGAAATAACTGACCAGAAGTGTGACCTTATTCTTTATATTTGAAGCTCCATAATGGGAGAAGTAAAGAAAAAAGACTTAAGGAACAACTTGGCACTCAACGTAAGACCAGTTTTTCTTTATATTCTTTCTTTATAAATGCTTGATAATTCTAGTACAAATGTTGCATTTTTAGAGTTGGCCATTTCCTTTATCTACATAGGCTAAGTAAGTTCTCAAAATAAAAACTAAACTGTTAGACTCATTGGCATTTCTAGTTGTCTATTGAATTAGCTTATCTAAGTTTGAACACCATCGTACTTCATCAGCGTCATCATCTTGGCTATATTTTAAGAGATGTGACGTTTATAACTGAAATGGAATGGAGCTATAACCAGGCTATGTTAAACATTCATCCAACCATAATAATGAACCATGTTAAACCAAATATCTAGCAGCAGGAAGAGAAAAGGTAAATAAGTTCTTGTCTTATAGCCCATTTAATAAATCTGGATACTCTACAGATGATATCCCCCCTTCCCTAAAAAGGAAAGAAGACATGCAATTTAAAGACTAGTCATTTCAACCCACATGATCTCTGTCTTCTGTCTTAAAACATTAGCACTTGATCCCATAGATCATTTTTTAAAAGTTTACTTTTTTTTTTGAGAGGGAGTCTCACTCTGTCACCCAGGCTGGAGTGCAGTCGTGTACTCTTGGCTCACTGCAGCCTCCACTTCCTGAATTCAAGTGATTCTCATGCCTCAGCCTCCTGAGTATCTGGGATTAAAGGCAAGTGCTACCACACCCAGCTATTTTTTTTTTGAGACAGAGTCTCGCCCTGTCACCCAGGCTGGCGTGCAGTGGTGCATCTCAGTTCACTACAACCACTGCCTCCCAGATTCAAGTGATTCTCATGCCTCAGCCTCCTGAGTAGCTGGGTTACAGGCTTGTGCCACCATGCCCAGCTTATTTTTGTATTTTTAGTAGAGGCGGGGTTTCACCCTGTTGCTCAGACTGGTCTCAAACTTCTGACCTCAGGTGTTCCACCTGCCTCAGCCTCCCAAAGTGCTGGGATTACAGGGATGAGCCACCGTGCCTGGCCTCATTTTTGTGTTTTTAGTAGAGATAACATTTCACCATGTTGGTCAGGCTGGTCTCAAACTCCTGACCTCACATAATCCACCCGCCTTGGCCTCCCAAAGTGCTGGGATTACAGGTGTGAGCCACTGCATCCAGCAAAAGTTTACTTCTTTTGCTTGTTTTGAGTCCTCCTTGAAGTGAGAGCTGAGACTCAGTCTTACACTGGTAAAAGCACATGGTTATGTTTCTGAACTCCAGGAAGCAGGGACTGATGGGCTGCGATGGAGGGCTTCAATCTTACCCAAGGGGCTTACTCCCAGGTTGGAGTGCAGTGGCACAATCTCGGCTCAAAACTGGTGGTTCCTCCACCTCCCTAACCTAATCTAGTCATTTTTTGTCTAGCAAAATTTGCTTTCAACTTATCTCCATTTGCCAGGCTTACTGCCCCCATTGTCACTGTCTTGCCATTGACATTTTATTTTATGGTCTCCCAGTATCACTGGACTGTGAAAACACTGCCATCTGTTTTATAACTAGCAAACGTATATAAGGTTTCCTTGCTTTGCACTAAGGCTGTTCCCTTTAGGTATTGTCAACAGTTTCAGCATATATAGGAAAGCTATCAGTATTATTGGGTGGTGAGGTTATTAGATTCTACTATCAAGTTAAAAACTCACCAGCCACCTGTTCTTCACCTAGAGCTGGGTAGGGGAGAGCCTTCTTTCACTTGCTGTTTAAGCAGCTTTTCTAGATAGCCCTGGTAGCACTGGGACTTGTGTTTTCTTATGTCAGTTTCTTCAATGTGAGGTTGGAAACTTGGGGCCAAGTATAGCTGGGGAAAGAAGACATAATTGAAGAAAATAGGAAGGGAGGACAGTTGTGATACAAAGAAACTCAGCCAGTGTGGGGGTAGACTTAGTTCTTCAGCTTTGTAAATGATTTGTCTCTCTCATCCCCTAGAAGAACCAGTGAAGACATCCATTCAGGAATCAGAAGCTTTTTTGCCTCAGGTACAGAATAAATGATCTGATTTGGTATTGTATCTCCATAGCTGTGGAGAACACTGACTTCTTAAAAAATATCTGTGCATTAAGAATTCTTTGTGACAATGGGATGCTGAGAGTGTTGTTCTCCTGAGAACTTCCATACAAGGGAACCCTGAATAACAAAGAGAAAGATGTTTAAGTGGATTGCATTAGTGGACTTTGGAATGCAGGGAAATTCTAAAATAGCACCCTTTGTCTCAGCTGAGTGACTGCTGAACACACAAATCAGCAGTGATACTTCACTGAACTTTGACTTGTTCTGGCTTTTTCTTAAGTTGACACCTCTTTGTAAGCAGAGGCAATCGAAGGCCTCCCTTTGTACTTGGGAAGATACCACTCATATAACTTCAGGTTACTGTGGAGACAAATGACTCACATTTTCTCTTTTTCAAATTATCTTTATTCCACAAAGCCAATAAAGAAACTGAAATTTTCATTAAAATTAAATAAAAATGAAAATAATGTGTTTGTCTTAAGCATATTACCCTAATAGAGGAAAAATTTATAATAATGGGAAACATTTGTTGTAATGGGAAATTTCAGGCTGTGTCTGTTGAGTGATTCACCTGCCAAAGGAAATCCTGAAGAAGAGATGGTATATGGGTGGGACCTTGTAGAAACAGAGCAATATCAGGAGTCTAGCAATTCTTGTCTTCCTTTCCAGAGCATACCTGAAGAGAGATATAAGATGAAGAGCAAGCCCCTAGGAATCTGCCTGATAATCGATTGCATTGGCAATGAGACAGGTAGGTGTGGAAGCTGCAGATTAACTGGTTCCCCCACATTGAGATCATGGCACAGGCAAGCTGTATTCATCAGCGTGATCAGCACCGCTGCCATGACAAACCAGTGCAACAATCTGCTTCAGGCTGGGTGCGGTGGCTTATGCCTGGAATCACAGCACTTTTCGAGACTGGGATGGGAGGATTTCTTGAGACCAGTTAAACATTAGCTGGTGTGGTGGTGCATACCTGTGGTCCCAGCTACATGGGAGAAGCAGAAAGATCACTTGAGCCCAAGGAGGTCAAGGCTTCAGTGAGCCAAGATTATGCCATTACACTCCAGTGTGGGTGACAGAGCAAGACTCTGTCTCAAAAAAGAAAAAGAAAAAAAAATATGTGGTTCAACACTATAATAGAGACTTGTTTCATGTCACAGGCTAGTGGGGAGCTTTGTTCCATGTGGCCATTCAACGGCTCCATCATCTTCTGAGGTCTTGGAGTTTTCTGCAGAGTCCTCTGCATCTGGCTAGCAGATAAGGGAAGAGAGAATGTGTGGAGGATCACATAAGAGATTTTAGGGACCAGACCTAAAGGTGATAATATGCATCATTTCCACCCCATTCCATTGGTCAGAACTCAGTCATGTGGCTCCATCTAACTGTAGCGGACATGGAGAAATTAGCTGTGTGTCAGGAGGAAAATGAAATGGGTTTGAGGAACATGTAACAGTGTCTCTAGCACAAAGACATCATTTATGATAGTTGGTGAGCTTTAGTCTTGTCTTTTTATTTGGATGCTGTAGAAGGGAGGAATGCTGGAATCCAGAGGGACATTGATAATAATGGAAGGCATTCTGGCTTCAGATATTATCACATGCCCTATCATTTCACCTAGATAGACTACCAAAGCTTTCCTGGGAACATTAAAGAAGTGATAAATGTGTGTTCACTTATAGAGCTCTGGGTATTTTCTGAGCAATGTGTCAGTTCTGCTGTCCTTTCCTTTGGTTGTTGGCCTCAGTCTCTTCTATCTGTGTGTCACCATTGCTTCAATCTGAGTCAGTTCTTTAGCTCAGTTGTTGTTGGATGTCTGACTCAAATTGAATCACTGGTGATGCATCAAAAGAGAATAAGAAGAGCCTAGAAAAGTGGAATGACGTTCTATTTAATTATTTAGCTCTTCTTTAAGAGTATCGATCATTGTATTTCCAGCTTTAGAGCTTCCCAACATTCTCTTAAGATGAATCAGAACTGTCTTTTAAGACTTACTTAAAATGTTACCATGGGGAGTTTTATGGGAAGAGAGGCTATGAGAAGGTCGAATTAAATATAAGACTAAATTTACCAGGATTTCAGATATAATCCTGCCTGCTCATGTCCTATTTTTGGTTAGATATGAGAAATGTTGTCTCCTCAGCTGTAGATAAGTGTCCTCTCCTTTTTAGCCATTAGTACTCATGTAAGATTGCACTCCAGCCTGGCAACAGAGCAAGACTCCGTCAAAAAAAAAAAAAAAAAAAAAAAGAATGAGAAAATATTTTCTTAATGAGTCACTTCCTGTTTTAAGAGATTATGTAATTGTCCTGTACTTCTGGTTTTGGTCAGTTTTGTTTTGTTCATCAGCAGATATTGTACGTATATCTGTTTTATGAAGAGAATCATAAAAAAAGCCATGATCTGTGAATTGAAAAACTAAATTTTTTGGCTAAAACTCAGTGTCTGTGCTTGCTTCCCTTGCTGGGTTGTGGGCCTCTTGTGGACAGGGGCTGAATATATATTCATATTTTTCTGCATTATAGGCGCATGATCAGAGCTGAGAAATGGAATATGACAGTGTGGGTTTGAATCATGGCTATGCTATGTTCTAACTTGTGACCTTGGGCAATGTCCCTAGCCTCTTTTTTTTTTTTAATTTAAATTTTATTTTTATTTTTCCTGTAGTGCTGAGTTCTCAGCCTCCTTAAACCTCAGTTTCTCTTTTGTAAAGTGGGTTAATAACAGGACCTACCTCATAGGGAGGTGGGGCAGAATGAGTGAGTTTGTACTTAGAAAGGGCTTAGAACAGTGCCTGGCACAGTGTGAGCATGCACTAGATGCCAACTAGTATTATCCTCATTTGCTTGTTTAATTTTAGCTATAAACCACCTAAGCAACACCTCACCATGGCTTTGCGCTTGATACCTAGAGTCTGATCTCAGGCAAGTGAGAGACCAGGGTACTGAGGCCTACTCTGTGCCCAAGGGTGAGTGGGTTGCATCCCCTTAGGCTGTGGTACACTGGAATGGAGGCCATAACCTGAAAGGGGACAACTTCTTAGATAAACACTCAAGTGGAAAGCTGAGCACAACATTCCTACCAGTCACAGTCTGAATGGGCTTGGCAGAGGAGAATCTAAGTACAAAGGTCCCAACCTTTGTACATCATGCTTTTGGTCAGGGTGTGAGCAAGTATTGGTCTCGATTGCATTGGTATATCTCTTCCTGCCCCATGGCTGCTGATGTATATGAGCTCCAAGAATCAGAATGGCAGCTTTAGGCAGCAAGTCCCTCCTGGTCAGACATAGTACTTTCAAGTTCAACATCTTGATGGTGCAGTGCTGGACAAGAGTAGGCCTGGGCCATTACAGGGTACCCTGGATATTTACTGCTGCCCTTCCCCTGAGAATTAGGGTGATTCGACTCAAGCCCTCCCTGCCTCTGGGAACAGAATCAATAATTGGGCTTGAGGTCACTTATAAACGCCCCTGGGCTCAGCTGGCTAATTAGCAGGTAAGAAACAAGACAGCATGGCTGGATGTGGTGGCTCATGCCTGTAATCCCAGCACTTTTGGAGGCCAAGGCGGGTGGATCACAAGGTTAGGAGTTTGAGACCAGCCTGGCCAACATGGTGAAACCCTGTTTCTACTAAAAATATGAAAATTAGCCAGGTGTGGTGGTGCGCACCTGTAATCCCAGCTACTCGGAAGGCTGAGTATTGCTTGGACTCGGGAAGCAGTAGTTGCAGTGAGCTGAGCTCGTGCCATTGCACTCCAGCTCTGGGCAACAGAGCAAGATTCCATCTCAGAAAAAGAAAAAATAGGCCCAGAATCCTGTTTTGGTTGAAAATCATTGTTATTAGTGCAGCACCCTTCATCTCTTTTCCATCTAATCTGTAGTTAGGGGGCTTCTTCTAGAGTAATTATGTGGGTTTCCTCTTTCTAGTTAACTTTGCCACCTGGTTAACATTGAACTACTGGGAGGAGTGCAGGAGTCAGATAATAAACAAGCAGGTAAGGTAATTGCCAACCAAAATAATGGCTCTGAAAGAAGCAAACAGGAACGTGATAGGACTAACTTGGGCATAGCTGTGCTCAGAGTACATAATTTATTAAAAATCTACTATGTACCAGGTACTTTGCTAATTGCTTTACATGGATTCTTACTTAATCCTCATAAATAATACCATAATATAGGTACTATTCTCTCCATTAAATTTTTTTGGTGTTCTATGTAGAACTAATTTGCTAGAAATATTCTATTTTTAGGGTGAAGAAGCTAAGCAGTGAACTACACTCCTACCTTCTCTAGTACTGATTGAGCTGGGATTCAAAAGCTAGACTCCAAAACCTATGCTTTTGACTACTTTGTCTCAATATAATTTCCGTGAAGGTAGGGGAGTTTATCCATCTCTCTTCCTATGGGTCTCCAATACCTGGAACAGTACCTGGTACATAGGTGTTCAATAAATATTTGTTGGGTGAGTGAATGAAAGAATAAGCTCTCCCAGTGTCAGTGTGTCTATAAAAGCCATTACTTTTTATCTTTAGAGTTTAGCAGACTCTCTTCTACCTAGCTTCCCTTCTGTTCTCAAAAAAACCAGATAAAAGTATTTTATCTGTTTTTTTTGAGAACAGAAGGGAATATAGGTAAAAGTATGCTCTTTGTATTTTTTATCTGGTTTTTTTGAGAACAGAAGGGAAGATAGGTCAAAGTATGCTCTTTATATTTATAGGTTTATTTTTAACTTTATTTCTTTGTCCAATAAATGTTTGTTGAGTGCCTACTATGTGCAAAGCACCATGCTAGGTCCTGTGTGAAGCAAATATTAAGGCAATGAGGTGGAGTCTGGTCTCACAGCTGTGTTATACATGAAGTAAGGTTATTCTGTGGTAGCACATTCTTTTTTTTTTTTTTGAGACAGAGTTTCGCTCTTGTTACCCAGGCTGGAGTGCAATGGCGCGATCTCGGCTCACTGCAACCTCCGCCTC